AGTGTGTGTGTGACCAGCTCAGCCCACCAGGGGGCGGGGCTGGCTGGCATGTGGTGCTGGGGGATTGAACCGTGGTCCCTGTGTTTTGCTTAGCTTAGCTTGTTCTAAGTAGGTGCTTTAGACCACTGAGCCATCTCACCAGCCCCCTGGAAGACTCACTTTGTAAAGGCCCTGAACTGAGCAAGCCCACCAGCAGGGGTCTTAAATGTTTGTGCTCTGGCCATGGGGTGCCATGGTGTTGTTAGACTGCAGGGGACAACTGATGGAGCATGCTAAGCCCAGGCTGTCTTTCAAATTCCTGCGCCTGCCACCATGGCCAACCCCCCTAAGAGACCAGCAAAGCCTTTGTCCTGTTTCCTAGGGGCTCCCTCCCTCATACAGAAGTAGATTTAGTCTTAACATTGCCTGGCTTGAGAACGTGAGACCCTGAGCACTGGGTCCAACTGCATGACCCACAACCTGGAGGCAGGGGTGAGCGCATCCAGACTGCAGAACGTGGCACCCTGCGGTAGCACCTCTAAGCCTGGGAGAAAGAGCCACTCGGTCCTAAAGGATCTGCCTGAATAAAATGTTACTGGCTCGTTGCAAAGACGGTTTATCAGATTTTAGTGATGGAAATTCAGTTTAATTATTTATTTTTGAGACAGGGTCTTGCTATGTACCCCAGGCTGACCTTGAACTTGAGGCAATCCTCTTGCCTCAGCTTCCCAGGAGTGGAGGAGTGCAAGATGGCAGGCAGACATGTACCACCATGCCTGGCTTTCTGTCCAGTTTTGTAGACTACTAGAAAATCCCTTGTATTCTTTCAGCATCAGTGACTGTGACTCCCCCTTCATGGCGTCATGGCCAGGGAGCACCAAAGTCCCCACTGGACAGACAACCTGCCTGTGTGTACATCCTGCCCCTCCGTGCATTGGGCACTGTTCCCAGTGTCTGACTGGGACTCTGCACCCATTTTGCAGATGGGAATGTGAAGGCATCAAGGTCTTGGGGCCTGCTATGTGAGTGGTCCAGTGCTGCTGTCCCAAATTGCCACAAACTGGTTGGCAACTCAGTTCTTTTCTTCCCCTCGCCCCTCACAGCTCCAAAGATCAGAAGTCCTGTAGGGGTCATTCTGGTTGAAACTCAAGGTATCAGTACACAACAAATCCACATTCTGTTGGAAGCTTGAAAGAAGAATCTGTTCCGTGCCTTTCCCAGTTCTGCAAGGCCACCCACATTCCTTGGCGAGAGGCCTCCCCTTCCATCACCACGGCCAGCAGTGGCCGCCAAGACCTGTGTCCCTGAGCTCCAGCCACAGAGGAAGGGGTCCTCCTTGCCCTCCCCAACTTTTTTTCCCCTAGTACTGGGGATTGAACATGTGGTTTTTACCCTAAACTACACCCCCAGCCCTTTTTAAAAAAAAAAAAAATTGGGGCTGGAGAGATGGCTCAGTGGTCTAAAGCACCTACTTGGAACAAGCTTTGCAAAGCACAGGGACTGCGGTTCAATCCTCCAGCACCACATGCCAGCCAACCGCGCCCCCTGGTGGGCTGAGCTGGCCACACACACACACACACACACACACACACACACACA